ATAATAATATCAAGAATAAATAATAATATCAAGAATAAATAATAATATCAAGAATAAATAATAATACATAGAGAGTGAGTCGATCAAAGGTTTTCGTAACAGAAGTATCAATAAGTCAACAAAACTGAAAGTCTTCAGGTAAACAGTAATAATGAATGGAATGTACTGTCAAAACATATTTTAGTTAAATATTTAGCAGTCTTTAGAGTATTTGACAATTTTCGTTTTTTCTTGTTTATTGAAGGATTATAGAAATCTCATGCATATAAAAACGATATTATATAAATTTGAGAAATTTTTAAACACGACTAAGCGCAAACATGAGATTCTTTACAACATAAGTTTAAATTGAGGTAAGCATTAATGTTAAGTTTTGCATTGAAAGGTGGTATCCCTAGTCGAACATCTTGTATGCCAGATCTTGAAATCTTGAAATTGGTAAGCAAGATCTTATCAAGATCTTCAAAAGATATTTTTCATGTATATATCTTGACCATATCAAATAAAATCTATATCCAAGATCATGGCAACATCTGTTCAAAGATTCTTACAAATCAAGATCTTACGAGGGAACTACCCGAGGTGCTAAAAAGCTTTTGGGTCGGGGATGTGATGATTAGATAGGATATAGCTAGGAGTGATATACCCTAAGCTAGTTCGTCCCCAAGTTGCTTCTGGCAGGAGTTATGAATTTTTCAAGTTATAAGCAAAATGTGCGTTTTTGCCCCTAAATGTTTTTTTTCAAAGAGAGAATAACGTATTAAACTGAAAGTTTTGTTATGCCTAGGGTGTGGGTGTGGATGTGTATGTGGGTGTCAGTGTTCCTTCACATAAACACACTCACACCCAATTACAAAAGTATATTTTTCAGATCTGGTGAAAAAAAGAAGGAAGCAATGTTACATCTCTTTAACAGATAGTATATCTTAACTCGAGAATAGGCTGAAAAAACATGTACAAACAATGCTTTTGTCATTAAATAATGAAACATGAAAAGCTATTAAGTTAGGGAAAAGTTTTTAAAATAGTCTTTCTGGTCATATCTGTGTTCTTTTGACATGAAACTTTCAAATAAGAAAGAGTATTGGTCGAGATAGATATAACAAAAATTTCAGTTTGATATGTTATACCCTCTTTGAAAAAAGATTTAGGGGCAAAAACACACATTTTGCTTATAACTTGAAAAATTCGTAACTCCTGTCAGAAGCAACTTGGGGACGAACTACTTCAGGGTATATCACTTCTAGCTATGCCCTATATAATCATCACATTCTCGGCCTAAAATGTTTTTAGCACCTCGGGCAGTTCCCTCGTTAGAAAAGATACTATTTCGTATTATCTATCCCCAAGATCTTGATTAAAACAAAAGTGACACCATTAACTTATTAATATATTTTAAAATTCTTGAAATTTTTGGAATTACGCTTAAAAATTGAACCATATAAAGGGCGGAGATGGATATCCCAGCAAAATAGGCCCTTTTAGAAAAGTATTTCAGAAAACACTTAAAACTAAGAAAAAATTCATCCTCTTTCAACACTACCACATTCTCAATGCATAAAAACAATTTTTCTTAACGATTCTTAGTGCACTGCTTCACATAAGCAAACAACCCACTGACAAGTGATTTATACCTGTGTTTGCAGCATCGAATGTCCATCATAGTACGTTTCACTCACACATTGTACGAATGAAAAACCGCTGTTTTTTCAGGGTAGACGCAACTTTTCAAGGGCTAGAAAATTATGTCAAAATATACATAGAAATATGCTGCGACCAGAAATTTTCAAAGATCACATTGCCCCAACCCTATGGAAAAGGGGGTCCATTTTAGAGAATGGCCCCTGAAATCTCATGTATTGAAGATTACCCCATGCCCATTTTTTCAGGGTAGACATAACTTTTGGATTACTAGAAAATGATGTCAAAATATACATAGAAATATGCTGCGATCAGAATTTTCCAAAGACCACTCTGTCCCAACCCTATGGAAAATGGAGTCCATATAAGAAGATGGTCTCTAGAATCTCCAGTATTGCAGATGACCCCACCTCCATTTTTGTACGGTATAGGGATGCAACGGTGATGATCATTCACCGGTTAACCGTCACCATTTCACCGGTCCAAAACGATAACCATACTTAGAGTTATCGGTCCAACTACGATAACCATAGGCACAGTTTTCGGTTCAAACCTGTTGTCAAGAAAAACAGAATTTTTTAAGAAAATAACTATATTTTATAAAGGTTGACGAAAGTAAATCGGGGTCGAAGAATCCGAATCTGAAGTTGGGTTTTGAAAATTTTGAGTTTTAGTTCTGCACATCTGATCTGTTTCAGGGATAAAGTTTTCTAGAAAACGAACGACTTTGCAGGAGCGGTTTAGTCTTGGAAAGAAAAACTTGAAAAGTTCAAGAATCTGATTTCAGATTTGGATCCCTCAATCCCGATTTCTGTCGTCAATCTTTAAAAAATATCATTATTTTTCTAAAAAACCCTTTCATTTGTCGGAAAAATTCACTTCAAAATTTTCAAAACTGGCTTCAGATTCGGATTCCGCTACCTCGATTTCCTTCGTCAATCTTTATAAGGTATCGTTATTTTCTTGAAAAATGCTGTTTTTCCCGACAACGGGTTTGAACCGGCAACTGTACCAACGATTATGGTACTTGGACCGGTATCCGTGCCTACGGTTTTCGGTTTGGACCGGTGAAACGGTGACGGTTAACCGACGAATAATTCTCACCGTTGCATTCCTACCCGGTCAGACAAAAATTTTGAAAAACGCGTTTAAACGCCCAGTCGCGGTTTTCGATTGTGCGTTCAAACGCGTTTTTCAAAATTTTTCTGTGATTGGATATACGCTGCAAGAAGAGAGACAGGGTGAGCTGCAATACTGGAGACTCCAGCGACCATCTTCTTATATGGACCCCATTCTCCATAGAGTTGGGGTAGCGTGATCTTTTGAAATTTCTGATCGCAGCATATTTCTATGTATATTTTGGCATCATTTTCTAGCAATCCAAAAGTTATGTCTACCCTGGGTAGGTATGGGTGTAGGCTGTGTGTGGATGGACGAATATTTTTTCTTTGATCCCATACCCCCGCCTCCACCCACACCCACACCCACACCCACCCCC